TACCTGGAGTTACCTAGCCCCAGGGAACTGCGAGATAAAACGACTGCTGTGAAACCGTTTTATGACTAGAATTTTTTATCGCTTTTCAAATGATTGTTAGCAATTTTAACGATAGAATAAAAACGTACAAAAATAATAAATTAAGTAAAATTCCATTGAAAAGCTTCGACCTCCTTGGGTGAGGAATGATTGAGGCTGCTACGTTCATAATAAATTAAAAATTTACACAAATAAAATAAAATGAACAGACTTCAAATAAGAAATCTTGTATTTGTAGTAAGTGCTAACAATTTCTTTTTGTAATCTAAATATTGTTTAAGTATTTCATATATGTAGATACCTACCTACCTATCAATAGACCAATGGATGTATTAAACGTGAGTTTTTCGTCGTTTTCATACTTTCCTATATATTTCAGATGTTAAACCTTTTACGTAGGTATAGAACTAGTCATACAATCAAAAAAAGCCTATGATATGTAGTTATAGTTCTGATAAACATAATAAAACTAAATTTACTAAGACTTAATAGATAGATTTTAAGAGCTTTTATATCGCTGAAGCGCTTACAAGCAAAAACTCCCGGGATCACTTTAGGTTTTTACTTTTAGGTTGGAAAAGAAACTGCCTATGCATTCGCGAAATCAGGTTTCCGAAGGACAAACTGGGAAAGCGGTTGCTAACAAAAATAATGCGAACAAAAGCCCAAACTTAACTACTTGTAGATTGGTCGTTATTCCACTGTGAGGCTCAGATTTCGATCCTTTTATTACGACGCTTATTCATTGCACAGAGAAATATTTTGTTCGGCTTTTTTTATCGTTAATTGGCCACATTCCGATTTAGTATTGAGATGTGTTCTTTCATACCTCCTCGGGCTCGGCGGTCAACGACTGCTCATAACCAAATGAGTGATTGTATTGCGTTACTTATTTACTTGACAAGCAACGCTTGGTGGATGCAATAAGGTTGATATTCACCTGTTACCAGGTCATGTGCAGTCTTGAAATAAATCGGGCGTGTCATCCGAATGTGTGGGTAACAAGGTATCAAGGACATCGGGGTTGTTTTTTTTCGGCCGTCATGACGTGTTTGTTGGTCTCTCCGGTACATGAGTGGTTTTTATCAAAGCTTATTCGGCTAATAAAAGCTTTTTTGCTAATGAAAAGTTCCGTGTAAATAGTACCAGTGTGTTCATTGTGAAACGCTGATTGTTCTTCTATATACGTGACCAGTTACTTTCAATTAGACTCAATGGCATTCTGATTAAATTAAAAATAGAGTTAAACATATAATTTTAATTTTTTAAGCATGTAACTGCTTGATGTTTAAATCTAAAGAAAATAGAACTAGAAAAAAATCAGACAGGAGTCGAACCCGCACCCTTCGCTATCCGGGCGAATGCACTGACCAATTATGCTACCGCGGCCCTATCGAAATTCCTATAGCCATTCTTAAGCTGCAAGGCAGCGCCATCTCTTCGCATTGTAGGTTACCCCACGTATAGTTATACATATTATGGACAAATAAAGCTCGTCAAACTCGCACGTTAAGGGTTGAATTTTATCAAGATAATTTACTTTCATGGATAAATTATCTAGCCATGGGTAAATAATTTATGCGTATAATTAAATGAAAGTATTTTTTAAGAATTTAGGTGTTATTTTCGTTTATTATATACAAAAATCACGTTTAAAATTAAAATTAGTACTTATTGAAAACATATGTAATCATTTTTTTTTGTTTATACTACATATTATTTTTATTGTTAGCCTTCTGCCTTTTAGATTTTTTTTTTCTCAATTTTCTGGGCAATACAGTTCATGGGATATCATTCTTATCTAAGCACAATCTATGTTAGACCTGTATTTATGTTTTTCTTGTCGCCTGATTCTGGTCGTGTGCTTTCTATTATAGGAACACGATATAATCAATGGTATTTAACCTAATAATTATAAAGTGTAACCCTTTTATTATGTAGCTTGTATAAAAGAATAGGTTACTATACCCATGCGCTAAGAAATCGCAAATCCTTTGTTAAAGAAAACATGCATTTAGGTAGGTAGGGCATAACTCTATTTTCTCCATTCACGCGCAAAATTTATATTAAAAGGCGGATCTTACAAGATCTATTGGCTGGCTTCTGCTCGTTGTTTCTACCAACTTGGAATTGTTTGTGGTCGAGTACATTTTGAGAGCCGCGAACCGAGGCCGTAACAATATATCTGAGTTCGTTCAAATATTCATAACGCAATATTTTAACATTTTGTTGGAAACGCGTATGGTGATAAATGTGTTTCATTAGGCACTCGAATTTATGACAGTGTTTGCCTTTATTGTATGTGTGTATTATGTGAGCTGTGTAAAGCTTTCTTAGGTAGGGTATTTAATAAAGATACCGTTTCATTCTACTAGGTCTAGGAAAGGTAGCGAGTCGTCGAGCGTCAAGAGTCAGATACCTATTGTATTTATTTTTATTTAAATGATTTTTTAACAATATTAAATTATTTATTACAAATAGATTTTATCATTAAAAAATAAAACCACTTATTTGTGTTTCTTCATCTAAATTTGGTTACACACTAACTAATATATTAGGTTGGGAAAAAGTTTCATCGCATTTTTTATGTACTTAAATTGCTATAGAAATAATATATGTAATGTCAACATGATGTCATTGCTGTAGAAATTTTGGGGCTTATGATGAAAAATCAAACCTGACACTGCCTAAAGAATTCTGAAGAGACGGATACAAGTGAAAATCTGCAGGTGCAAGGTCAGGACTATACGGCGGATGCATTAACACTTCTCAGTCAAACTCTTGATTTTTGCTGAGTGGCTAAAGATGCGTGAGGTCTAGCGTTATCATGATGAAAAACCACACCCCTTCTCTTGATCAATTCCGGTCACTTTCTCTCAACTTCTTGCTTTAATCTCATCAGTAGACTTTCGTATCGATGATCCTGCCTGGTGGTACACAGTTCATAATGCATGATGCCCTTTCAATCCCACCATACACACAGCATCACCTTGTTGAGAGTTAACCCGGGATTCGCCAGAGTCTGTTAAGCCTGATCGTCCTTTGACCGCGACCTTTATCGCACGTTCTTGTGGTACGTGACCCACTTTTCATCCCCAGTTATCAGTTTCTTCAAGAATGGTTCGGTTTCATTTCGTCGTAATAAAGAATCTTAAATGAGTACTTGATTCATTAGGTTTCTTTCAGTGAGCTCGTGAGGCACCCAAATATTGAGCTTTTTTGTGTACCCAGCTTTTTTCAAATGCGCCAAAACTGTTTTGTGGTCAATTCCCAGTTCTTCAACTACGTCGTAACCACTGATATGCCGATCTTGCTCCACTTTTATTAAAATGTAAAAATGGCATCCTTTTTATCCGTAACAGGGCGACCAGAGCAACGCAGCGACGTGCATCGTTGACATCAAAATTTTCGGATTGAAAGTGCTGAAACCAAAGGAGATTGCTCAAATTGGCCCAAATGTACAAAAAATATTGACATATACAGAAATTCTTGGCGTAATTTATGCTTTATATTTTACAGTCATCAGATAAAACTAGTTTATTTACGGGTTAATGCACGAAACTTTATTTATTTATTGACGTTTCGTAGCCTGTAAAGGCTAATATAATGCGATTCAACTAAGAATAAAAAAAAAGATTTTATTTTATCTATCTTTACAAAATAGATTTGTTTTGATGTTATATAAACAACTGCGATCAGTCCTTGGCTGAATGTTACATAACCATTTAAAATGATTCGTATGTTTTCCAAACCGGTAAAATTAAAAGTCCTTTTTAAAATGAATATATTATACAAAGGTGTCCGTTAAAATCTAAAGACTGTATTTGTTTCTTAGGTTTTCACGCACATCACTCATTAAATAAAACTAGTTTTTACGGGTTAATGCACGAAACTTTATTTATTTATTGACATTTCGCAGCCTTTTCAGGTCTGCATCGTCAGAATAATTTTAAATAAAAAATCATTATTCTGACGATGCAGACCTGAAAAGGCTGCGAAACGTCAATAAATAAATAAAGTTTCAACTTCAAGGAATATTCTAAAAAAAAAAAATCAGCCAAATCGGTCAAGCCGTTTTCATGTTATGTCGTGACAACGGAAAACGGGTTTCATTTTTATATATATAGATGTACCTATTTGCAAAATAACCTCAAAATCATTCAGTGTGTTTGGTTTATAGAAGTTCTCAGGAGTGTCCGTCAATAATATTCGTTTCTACAGTAATTTATATATAATTTCGAATCTAGGAAACAATTTTTCATGACTATTCAGGTCTTTAGGCCAAACATGTATGGAAGCTGAGCAATCTCCTTTGTGCTACTCTCACAGACACTGCACTAGGTCCATAAACATCACAAACTGTTTTCGCGGCTTGTGTTGCATTTTTTTTGTAGTAAAAATTTAAAATTTATCGATTAGGTTCACATATCTTGACAGTAAGAAAGACAAATGAAACACACATTTTTCTTCTTTAAAATTTGGAATTATCTTCTTTAAAATTTAAACTTTTTAATGATACCAAAACCAGCCAGAATGGTACAAACAAATGGTATAGCCAAAGAGATTTTATTACAAGTTCATACATACTATAATGCGAAAAGACTTTACCCCCAACCTATTATAATCAAGCGTAAGTTTAGCCGCGAAGATAGCTGAAAAGTCTATAAAGTCTGCCGTTCATGCCGTCTCCACCTTGTTTTGTCCCTTACCTTACTCAACACCATCAAAAGGTAATATTATAACTGTATGGTGGATTTTACTTTTCCAGACGGCTGCTTCGGCTTCCCCAGCGGAAAATTGTTATGCCCAGGGGCGTATTTAATAAATAAAAATATATATAGGTCAGTAACGAAGGCCTTTATATGACTTCTGCGGCCCTTCGCAGCTCGTGCAGCCGTCCCGGGCACTGGACTCTAGCGTAAATACGCATCTGATTATACCCTACTACTGTTTGTTTCCAGACATAGGGATGAGGTTCAAGAAGTTTCCACAATCAGTGGCCGCGCCCGTGGGAGACGAAGTGGCTTTCGAATGCGTGGTGAACGTCCCCGGAGACAAGCTGGCGTGGCGGTGGAGGCCTGTGGACGACACTCGGTGGCGGGACGCAAACGGGACCAACGACAAGACTTCCACAAGGCTCATCGTAACGGTTAAGGAGGATACTCCGACTTCTATGTACCAGGTCAGTTTCTAGGAATACTTATGGTAAGATTGTACAATCAGTGGCCGCGCCCATGGGAGACTTAGTGGCTTTCGAATGCGTGGTGGTCGTCCCCGGAGACAAGCTGGCGTGGCGGTGGCGGGACGCAAACGGGACCAACGACAAGACTTCCACAAGGCTCATCGTAACGGTTAAGGAGGATACTCCGACTTTTATGTACCAGGTCAGTTTCTAGGAATACTTATGGTAAGATTCTACAATCAGAGGCCGCGCCCATGGGAGACTTAGTGGCTTTCGAATGCGTGGTAATCGTCCCCGGAGACAAGCTGGCGTAGCGCTGGTGGCCTGTGGACGTCACTCTCTCAACTTAAGTAACAGAGGAGTCCTTGGTTCAGGTGGTTAGCGCGTTCGGTCTGCGATCGTCGAAGTTAAGCTACTTTCGCAATGGTTGGTCATTACCTTTAGAAGTCACTAAAGTCGAGATATTAAGTATTTCACCAAATCCTTAATATCTCGACAGTACATCGCCCCCGCTGCATCTGCAGTCATTAGCATCCACCAATCCGCACTGAGCTTGCGTGGTGGGTTACGGCCCAATCTCCCTTTGTCCATAGGAAAGGTCTGTACCCCAGCAGTGAGGACATTAATAGGCTATGATGATACTCTCACATTTATAATTACGTTTGAACCTTAAATTGTAAATCTTGTTCCAGTGCGTGGTATGGTACGGGGTGGTGAGCTTGGTGTCGGTTCCAGCGAAACTTACTGTGGCCAGGCTGGAGCTGACGGGCTTGCGACCCAACACGAGGGTCATCAGTGCTCCCCCTCATAATACTCTGGTGCTGCATTGCAGGGAGCCTGTGTCAGAACCTACGGCAGTCATTAATTGGTGGAAAGAACACAAGGTATGTTGGAACTATATATCTATCTATCTTCACATCGTGTACCCAGGGGCGTACTTTAAAATCTGCTGCCCCAGGCTTTTTACGATTTGCAATTCGTAAATCAAACTTTATATGGCTTCTGCTACCCTTCACAGCCTGCCGCCCCAGCCCTCTTGGAGCTGTAGACGTTTTTGTATGAAAAATACTAGTATGCCAGCTTTCTAATCTACGGTCGATGCTCAAGAAGAATGAATCTTTCGATTCATTCGCATTCATGATGTCATATTGTTGGGAAATATGTTCTGGAATATGTGAAATACAGTATAAGTAGTGGCAAACTTCTTGAGCAAAACCACAGACATATAAACTTGCACAGTAGACGTTTTTGTATGTAAAATTGCTGCTGCGCAGGCTTTCTTCTGTATGGTCGATGCTCAAGAAGTTTGCCGGAGTGTATACAATATTATCTAGGTTTGTAAATTGTAAAGGTTTTTTGCTGACGTGTCTTAAAGTGATGTGATAGTATCACTCAGATAATTATTTATTATATGAGATAATTAAATATACAATGTTAAATAAAAAAAAATTAAGCCCTATACGGAAATGTTAGCGACGCTACATTTGGCATTGTTTCTATGCCCAAGAAGTTATCCGTAACTAAATGGCAGGTTGCCAATGCCAACGCATCCTCTACCAACAATTTTCAAAGTTACCCTGTTTTTGCGACTGATTTTATGTACGGACTGGCGCATTCTAGGGTTTTCTTGCTCTCTGACTGGCAGGAGAGAATGTTTCATGAGAATATTTTATCGATTTTTGAATAAAGTTACTCCATTTCAGGGCAACAAGAAACCTATAGAGACACCTCACGGTGTCCTGGTGATACACAACGCGTCATCAGAACATTCTGGCACGTACGGCTGTTCTGCAACTAATGTGCCGTCTGACAAGACTGTGGATTTACTTGAGAAGGTGCATTTGAAGGTGGACCGCAGCGTGCCAGGGGAAGTAAAGTAAGCCCTACTTTCCTAAAGCGTATAAAAAGAAAAACTAGATTATAAGTCTGTACTAATATAAATAATAAAAAAGCAAAGTATTTTTTTGGTTATTTGTAGAAAGTAATTACTGGAACTGTGAACAGATTTTAAAAATTTACAACTATTAAAATATATATTATTATTTCGAATCAAACCTATTAGCTCATGTAATTAACAAATCAAATCAGTGAAACGTGATTTGCAGTAGTGCTTCAGCAAACTGGGACTATTGAAAAAGAGCTCGTTAAATTTTAATCCGTACTCTCTCACCAATTATTATAAATGTTTTTTGTTCTCAGGTTCTTAGAATCCGAAGAGTACGTCGGTACAATAGACAACAACGGAGTGCTGACAGTGTCTGTGAAGCCAAGGGAACCGTTGAGATTGTGGTGCGGTATTGTAGGATCTCCACCGCCCCGGGTCTCGTGGAGTCGACAGAGAGGCGCTCTCACTAGAGGCAAACACAACCACACGCTGATCGTTGACCCGTTCACACCTGACGACGATGTAAGAAAAACATACAAATTAATAACTCCAATATTTTGTAACATTAAGGGATACTTACAACAATGTCTCGGGTGCTGTGAAGTCATCAGAGAGGCGCGCTCATCAGGGGCAAGCACATCCACACGCTGATCGTTGACCCGTTCACATCTGACGGCTGACGACGAAGTAAGAAAATACACAAATTAATAAATCCGATATTTTTAACATTAAGGGATACTTGCATCAATGTCTCGGGTCTCGTTCACACCTGACGATGAAGTAAGTAAACACACAAATTAATAACTCCAATATTTTGTAACATTAAGGGATACTTGCACCAATGTCTCGGGTATTATGAAGTCATCAGAGAGGCGCGCTCACCAGGAGCAAGCACATCCACACGCTGATCGTTGACCCGTTCATACCTGATGACAAAGTGAGAAAACTAGAGTAACTCAGATATTTGGTATCATTTAGTGATACTTGCATCGAGCCCCGGGTTTCTTGGAGTCGACATAGGGGTACGCTCACTAGGGGCAAACACAACCACACCCTGCAACACCTGACAACGGAGTAAAACACATACAAATTAATAAACACAGATATTCTGTAAGTCTTGCATTTGTAATATTATCGGGCACTTGTTACTCTTTGATACCCACTCTTACTCACTAGGGGCAAGCTCAACCACACAACAACATGCTGGTCGTTAAAGCTGTGACAAAGTATTTTTATGAATATTTCATTACTTAAATACGCTCGCATCATTTCTAGCTTATTTTAAATATTGGCGCAAGTTCATATTTTCCAATCATGAAAACATGAAGAAGAGACTTTAAACAATTATTCCTAAAACAATGGTAGAAACTTCTTTGAACGTTAAGACTTCTTGTGAACAGCGACTGAAATAAGCAGCAGTGAAATATTTTCCATTCTAGAATTTCTGTTTTTAAAGTAACTTCTTTACGCCTTTTTTAACAAAACTTAATAATGCTGTTTGTATCCTATCCAGAAAACTTCAAAAATGTGTTTTTCACAGGATGTGTATTCCTGCTCGGCAAACGGTATCCGTCGGTCATGGAAGGTGGTAGCTCTGGAAGCTCCTTACTGGGAGGGCGAGGCTAACAACGCGAATGCAACTGAGGGCGGTGAAGCACACGTCACATGCGGAATACCACACGGGCAGCCATCTCCCACAATTAGCTGGTTGTTGAATTCCGAGCCGGTGGAGAGTGCCAATACGAACATAACTGTTGGTAAGTTTCCTTAGAAAACCGACGACTAATCCCCAAGATGCCAACCTTGGGGCTAATGCTGATTTCTAGCTATATCGTGTATGAGTAGCATTGCCGTCAACATTGTTGCTGAAGTATGGAGCCGGGGTAAAGGATCAGAAGGTACCATCATCACCTGGTTGCTGGAATCTGAGTACAGCACTGAGCTGAGCGCCAATACCAACGAGACTGTTGGTAAGATGAGTTTATACATTACGTATCGGAAAGGGCAGGGCTTAGATTGTGTATCAATGTTGGCTAACCAGTTAATGGATTAGTCTTGGCAGTCCCCACTATTCCTACACGAACAAAGAAATTTGGTGACTCATTTCTTTGTAGTACTATTCGTAAGTAGAATTCTTTGCCCGCGCACTTGTTCCTTCTTTCCTACAATCTGGGGTTCTTTAAGAGAGGAGTGAAGAAGCATTTTTGCAGCCTGGCAAGGTGAGGATGGTTGGTGTGGCAGTTTAAAATTGCTGTACCACCTATCTTCGCGTTTAGATTTTATCACCACTTAACATCAGGTAGGGTAGAGTCATTTGCCTACCTAGCTATATAAAAAAAGTGACAATGTTGGGGCTGATGCTCATTTCTCGCTATATCGTGTACGTGTAGCATTGCGGTTAACATTGTTGCTGTCGTATGGGGCAGGGGTTATATGACAGAAGATAATGAGGTACATATGTCTCATTGACATGCGGGCAGTCACTTCCCATCACCTGGCTAGCTGCTGAACTACCAGCCAGTACAGAGCATTGACACAAACAGGACTATTGATAAGATGTTTGCTAAGCATTGCATAGTATAAAAAGGGAGCACAAGAGGGGATTTTTGAATTTTTGGTACAATAACATACGGGGGGTAAGCTTGCACCTCGTGAAATACTCCCATCATACCTGAGCCCTCTAACTTAAAAAAAAAACAAAATTCAATATCGTTATTCAGTCTAGGCTGTTTCAAGCACTTGTGAATGTCGAAAAGCTACGCCATCGGTTCGCAAATCTACGGCGGGAGATCTTGTACTGAGAAGAACCGGCAAGAAACTCAGCAAGGGCTGCTTTTTTCTCCCTGTTTTATTTCATACAGTGTCGTCCAATTGAAAGTTGACATCAAACTTGCAAACATGTCGTGTTGAGTCAACTTCCACGTAGGGCTGAACGTCCAGGACAGCAAAAAAAAACAAAACACGGCCATAAGTTTTGGTTGTGTCCAAATAGTCAGTTTTTTGAATAGAAGCTGTGTCTGACGCGCTCGAATATATTTTTCCCATATTCTACCCCTTGTTACGGCGACCCCCTCGCCATGCAAACCGGCAGATATATATTTTTTCCGTCCTCAAAAACGTTACGTGAATGTATCCCCTTATGTTATTCTGCCGCGTTCGATCAAATCCAAAAATCCCCGCTTGGGCTCTCCTACTATGAAGGCGAGGCAAACAACGTGAATGTGATGATAGGTATAGCCACCCCCTACCATCACCTGGCTGCCACCTTTCTCATCAGTCAGCGTTAATACAGGAAGGAATATTGCTGCAGTTGAGCTCAAGTAGATAATTGAGAAACTCAGCGTTGTTGTAGTAAGCGATTTCGGTTTGTGTTCGTGAAGTTTTCGAAAAGCTTAGACGGTGGCCGATGGGTGACCAAAAATTTCGTTTTCTCGAGCTCCTTCCTCTATTTCCGGAAAAAAAATGAAAAACCACAAAAATATAATATTATGATTCCAGAACCACGATGAACTATATATTGTTTTAAACTTCCATGGTCACTAACACTATAGTAACGGGATTGCTACCATGTATCTTGTTTATTACGAATAAACAAGATGTTTATTCGTAATAAACAAGGTTACGAAGAAACTATCTTTAATTTTCTTAAACTTACTTTTGGATGTGAAAAACTTCCACATATGTACATGGCAAAATCATGGCGAGGTAGAAAAGGGTTTTTACCTGTTTTTTGTTATTATGATAGAAAGAAAGTCTCATCATGAAACGTTTCTCAGGTGACACGGAGCTTTTCATCAGTCCTGTGGAGAAACGACACGCGGGAGTGGTGCAGTGCTTCGCGTGCAACCCACTCGGCTGCGCATACGACGCCGCGCTGCTCACTGTAGTGCCGGTGCAGATCTCTGACGACATGGTATGTGATGACGTACACTAATATACATAAATCGTCCCGTGGAAAAGTAATAGGCGGGTAAAGTACAGTGCTTCGCGTGCAACCCACTCGGCTGCGCGTACGACGGCGCGCTGCTCACCGTAGTGCCGGTGCAGATCTCTGACGACATGGTATGTGATGACGAACACTAATATACATAGATCGTCTCGTGGAGAGGTGATAGGCGGGTATAGTACAGTGCTTCTCGTGCAACCCACTTGGCTGCGCGTACGACGCCGCGCTGCTCACTGTAGTGCCGGTGCAGATATCCGACGACATGGTATGTTGGAATGAATAGTTTTATGTATACATAGACTGACTGACTGACTCTCTCTACAGACGTTGTCCTTTCTGACAACTATACAAAAAGATCCTAGAACCTGATAGCAGCGCAATCTACCGGGTTCCGCATGTGGATTTAAATAATCTATGGACCCACATCTCATATCCATAATTGAATGCACTATTGAATTTAGATAATTAAAATTAATTAAATCCTAGAACCCGACTACAGCGCTACCTACTTAGGTACAGTTATGAACTTATGAAATTTTTTACAATTTATCTATTAACAAAAAATAATCATAAAATAGAAAAGTACATTTTGGTGAAGACTTTATATAATCCATATATTCAAATGTACGTGAAGAATTGCAACAAATCGGTCTTGCCGTTTAGGAGGTGTTCCTTTCATACACACGGACGGAAGTTCAAAAAGTCATACCGACTAACATATTTACACACGTTTAATAAATCTGTGCGTAATCCTACAGAAAGCTTTTATGTGCGTCGTCCATGAACTATGTGAGTTTGTTTCAGGATTATTCCGCAGAAGTTCCCAAGACGTTACATAATCCTTCGCAGTCACCCAAAAGGCATTACAGGAAAAATCCAAGAAAACACAAAGGTATTCATTATAGGCAAATTTAAAAGTACTTATCATGTAGGTACCTTCTTTTCACGTTTTCATGTAATGACTATTTTATTTAGCGAGAAACAAAACAAATGTGCTTTTGTAATAAATTCCATTCCATTTATTCACAAGCGATTTCATTATATTTTCCCAAAATAATTGATTACTTTCCTAAAATAATTATTTAGTTTACTTTGTTTTATAGAATTTGTTGATGAATTAACTGAAACTGAAATTAAAAAAGTGTTCGATAACGAGCTGGAAAAATAAATTAAAATTATGCAGAGTTATTTTTTTATAAATTTTACATCAGACTTGTGTGACCTAAAAAGAAACCAAAAAGGATACCTCTAAATCTGGGAACATTAAATTATAATTGAAAATTCAAAGAGAAAGAAATTCGTCGCCTAATAGGCGGTAATTTTGAAGTTCGCCGTGACAGTTAATTTAATATATTACCCATAAAAGTTAGTGATTACTGGCTCTATGATATTACCCTATATTCATTTAAATGAGTGTTTTCTTACTGCCGTATTTCGTTACAGTATCAATGATTCCTCCTTCTAAGCCAAATGTGACACGTCTATCTGACACAAGCGTCATGGTATCATGGTCGCATCCCAACCATGGACTGTCCATACAATTCTATAAGGTAAGTAAATTAACTTTCGCAACTTTCGCAGTGGTCGGTCATTGGATGGGTGACCAAAAAATCTTCTATCTCGAGTTCCTCCGTGCTTCGGAAGGCATGTTAAGCCGTTGGTCCCGGCTGTATCTGCAGTCGTTAGCACCCACCAATCCGCACTGGGCCCGCGTGGTGGGTCATGGTCCATCCATAGGGAAGGCCTGTGCCCCAGCAATGGGGATTTTCATAGGCTTGGTGGTGAAGTAAATTAATAACTTCTAAAGTGTCGATTTTCCTATACACAAACATACATCTGTATTTAACTCCCTCTAAAAACTGTTTGTTATTCCAAAATCGTTGGAACAGATCATTTTAAATTGTTATCAGTTGGTTACATACCAATTTTCATAGTGACAGTCCAGAAATTTAATGAAGAATTTTCTTATACATGAATGTTTTCAACGCGCGTTGAAAAAGTTCTGAAACAACCCCAAAACGCAAGTTTGAAATTAAACCAACGGGTGTAGTAATAATATTCGTTCGCAAAAGCCCTTTTTTAACACAGTTATTTTTTAATTAGGTACAAGGTACAAAATTTATATATTTATAGATTAATAACTGTAGATACTACAAGATTTCTGAAGTGAACCTTATAACTACAATAAAAGTAATATATTTTAGGTGCAATACAAAGAAGTTACGAACATGAGCGACATGTCCTGGCAGACCGGCATCTGGGACATACTGCCTCACATCCACGCGTGTGAAGTGGACACCCTACACCCGAACATTTATTACAAGTGAGTAAAGTTTATTTTACCGTCGAATGCGTTATTGTTTGCGACGGCATATCCTCTGTTATACCTACATCCTACTTATATTAAACCTAAATGTGAAAGATTGTATGTTTCTCAATCACGCAAAAATGGCTCAACGGATTTTTACACACAGACAACTTATGAACTGGAAAGAGACAAGGATACTTTTTGAAGTGAAACTTCTTTACGCACGCTTGACTTGGGGGGGTGAGCTGGCGAATGCGTTACGCGTTACGAAAAGTGTGTTCGGCCAAGGCGCACATTTTCTTTCTCACATTCTCTCTCGTAGAGAGAATATTGTTCTGTGCTTTCTCTTATAGCTAGTAAATGAAATTTGTATATGTACATACATGTAAATATCGTACACACATACACACACACACACACACACACACACACACACACACACACACACACACACATATATATATATATATAAATACAGATGGAGCTAAAGAAGTTTCATTTCAGTCTTGTGGTCATAAGCACATTCGTTTTTGTTATTCCGGAAAAGATTTTCCGAAGTATTTTCAAAAAACCAAAGTTAACGCTGTCGAAGTCACGGTCGGCGGCTTGTAGCGCATAAGTAAAGAAGGCACAGAGACAAAGCTTCATATTTTTGCGCGTGTGTGAGTAAACACTAGCGCATGTCGCGTACGCAGATAACCGTTTCTATTGGCGGCGACAGGCCGCCAGTGCTCACTCACACACACGCATTACATGAAGCTTTGCCTCTGTGCCTTATTACACGTGTGGTTATACCAACGACACAATAAACCAATGCCCTTCCGGGGCAGCAGATCTTCAGAGGTGTCACGGTATATCGATATTTATTACATACCCACATGGATAGTTTTATGACAATTTAGTACACCACGAGGGTCGGCGGAGTATGACAGGGTTGATCCATGAGGTAAATCTTATATTGATAATTTCTTATATACTTACCGTTTTGAAGTTAAACTTATTATCGGACGGGGTGTAAATGGAAAAATCTTATGGAAGATATGAAACGGAAATGCGTCACGAGCGTCACACTACTATATATATATATATATATTATTACTATATATATATATATATATATGTGTGTGTATGTGTGGGGGGGGGATGTGTGCGCAGCTCTTCCCGACGAACAAGAAAGTTGAAGGGTGGTTCGGCTGATACGCTACGAGCATCACACATGACAATATATGTATAAATAAATAAATAATAAATATTTCCGACACTCACACCAATTACCCTAGCCCCAAAGTAAGCACTATACGGCTTGTATTATGGGATGCTAGGGTAACGGATAGAATACATATACTGTACATATATAAGTATATTTATATAAATACATATTAAACATCCATGACTGGAGTACAAATGCTCGTATTCATCACACAAACATCTGCCCCTACCGGGATTCGAACCCGGGACCTCTCGAGTCGGCGACAGCCATGAAACCCGATGTACAAACCACTCGGCCACGGAGTCGTCGTCGTATGAGTGATGCTTACGCTACTCCATTCCCCTATGCCTAATGTAAGGTTTTTTAAGAAAAGAAGTTTCCCTTGAGATGTGATATGAGTACACACAATTTTTATTTATTTAATGAACAAGACATTTTTAAACACAGATAACACGTCCTTTGGGGTCTCGTAGCATAATGGTCCTTGCTACAGAGTACATTGTTATAAAATGTCATTGCATTCTCGCTCGGAAAGCGGGCAATGTTGGTTTGATTAACCCAACCTAACCATACTTGTAACACCTATGTATAGAACAAGATGCAATAAATGAATATGAATATGATTCCAGCGTGATCTACGGCTGGAGTTGATTTTTTTCTAGTTAATATTTTCTTGAGATGTAGAAATCGAGCAGTTCAATAAAACAAATAAGATTCGGTAACTATGCAATAGGGGTGATGACGGGGTACAGTAAACGAAATTCTATTTAGTCTGTCAGTTAGACGATTAAACAATAATGGACACGTATTTTTTTCTTTGGGCAAACAACCAAAAAATGACAAAGTTATAGCGCGTCAAGTTTGGGAGTGGGGGCTCGTGACGTCACTTTTAAGTGAAAATTGTACTTGTTTAATTGTAAAACGTGACGTCATGCGACTTTTCAAATCAATATATCTCTGCAATGTTTATATTATGTGAAAAAAGAAAAAATACGTGTCCAATACTTTTTGACAATCTACCTGATAAACGAAGAAAAAAAAATAGTCATCATCACTGTTGTTGTTAAGCAAGTTTTGCAATGGCATAGGGCGGGTAACGAAAATGTGCTCATTTTGTCTCTTTCAGCAGCCATCGCAATTGTGTTTTGCAACTACATTTTTTCATTCTTTCATGGCAACCAGTTGTGATCTTCTATTCCGTCTATAAGGTCTGAGACCCAGCAGAGAGGCATCAGTTGGCTGATGTATTTTAAACTTGCAAATCCCACCTACCTTGAATTTTTTTTACATAAGCTTAGACAATCGGTACGCATTTCATTCGCTTCATTTCCATTATTTTTTAATCAGCAATATTAACAAGGCGCCAAGCACACTAATTATGTCTTTATTATTTAAATAAGCCCCTCATACTGAGTTTAATTGTTTGTAAGAGTGGGTCGTCCGCAGTACAGTCAAGACCACATTTAAGGATACACTTACACTATGAATATTGCTCTTATTACTGCGTAATAAAGACGAAGTAAATGTAAATTTTTATCCATCGAGAGGTTCTTATTTGTACAATGGCGTCGAAGTGTGAGCTTAAAAAATACTTTTGTTCGTCTGGACGGCGTGCCTACGATTTGAGATTAGGGTCGAATTTTAATTTTATATTAAATGGTAAACAATATTCACTCTATTTTTATTCCACAGCTTACTAAAATTCTAAAAGGGCATTGAAATATTTCCAGTAAATAATTCTATGTAAAATTTTACGGATATTTTTTTAACGTCCGGAATTCATATTGAAATTATTTCTCCTTGTATTAAATAGTGATCCCAAACATTTGTATGAATTTTATTATTATCACCAATAGGTGATAATAATAAAATTCATTTCGATTTCAAAATTCGTTAAATTTTTAATACTATTAAGTAATAACTTAATAGTATTAAAAATTCAACGAATTTTGTACACAATCAAAATTTGTACTAATAAACCTGGAATAGGTTTGTTGTGTGATGGAGCTAATATCAGCTATAGCATGAAGGTATACAAAACGGAAAGCTGAATAACGACGCTTCAATACACGCTGTATGTCTAATCAAAGCACATTTACAGCCCTTTGAATTTATTAATAGAAAAGTATAGAAGCATGCAATATATGCCTGGCCTACTTAACATATTAACTCTCATAGAAGCTTTTCAAGACAAGACAGTGCCAGTAGAAAGGTGAAGGTTGTGAGGGCAACGATTTGTGTAAGGGCTATATATATTTTCTAACAAAGCAACGAGCAACTTTTGGTAAACGGCAAACACACTGTCGCCGTTGATTGGCTCGCATGAAGAGCGAGAGTCTAATAAGTAAATTAAATAAAGTTGTTAATAGATCATCGGCATTGACGTAATTAATTGTACGTCACTGATCGTCGCGGTTTGAATAAATAAATATTAAATAAAACTAGTTTTTACGGGTTAATGCACGAAACTTTATTTATTTATTGACGTTTCGCAGCCTTTTCAGGTCTGCATCGTCAGAATAATGAATATTCATTACTGACGATGCAGACCTGAAAAGGCTGCGAAACGTCAATAAATAAATAAAGTTTCGTGCATTAACCCGTAAAAACTAGTTTTATTTAATGAGTGATGTGCGTGAAAACCTAAGAAACAAATAAATAAATATTTCCAACACTCACACCAATTAGCCTAGCCCCAAAGTAAGCACTGTAAGGCTTATGTTATGGGATACAAGAGTAACGGATAGAATGTAAATTGTATATAAGTATATAGAAATACATATTAAACATCCATGACTGGAGTACAAATGCTCGTATTCAATACACAAACATCTGCCCCCATCGGGATTCGAACCCGGGACCTCTCGAGTTGGCGACACCATGAAACCCAGCGTATAAACCACTCGGCCACGGAGGTCGTTATAACAGAACTTTTGTGGATTTTTATAATACTATTATTCTTAAAACAAAAATCTATAATAGTTAAATGCTTAAGTTTAAGGCTTGGGGGTAAATTTTTGCTAATTATAATTGGTCGATAAAGAAGGTAACGTAATTAAGTTGATATACCTATATGATGATTCAAGATTAACGAAAGATAAGGATTTTATGTATTTAAAATTTATTTGAAATACGTTTAAAAAAAAATAAAAGTGTAATATCATTATATTATTTTTTAATTATTAAATTAGGCCATGATATTAGGCTGAATGAGAAAAAAGAGCTCGATGGCGCGGGTGGTTAGCGCGTTCGGCTGCGATCGTTGAAGTTAAGCAACTTTTGCAGTGGTCGGTCATTGGATGGGTGACCAAAAAACTTCTATCTAGAGTTCCTTCGTGCTTCGGAAGGCACATTGAGCCGTTGGTCCCGGCTGCAACTGCAGTCGTTAGAACTCGCCTATCCGCACTGGGCCAGCAGTGGGGACATTAATAGGCTGATGATGATGACTATAATGATTAAAAAGTTACTTAACGATACATCTAGCAGTTTTATTTTTAATTTCATGTATGGGTTTCGTTTATAAAGTAAGTCTTTATAAAACCATCTTTAAATTCGAATAATCGGAATATTTCGACATGAGTGTAGATAAAAGATTTTATTTGTAACCAGGTTCCGTATAGCGGCTGTTTATTCAAACCAAGACAACAAGCAGGGTAAAAGCAGCGGCCGCTTCTACCTGCAACGCGGCGTGACGTCAGTGCCTCGCGCGCCCGTACTCACCGCCGCCGCGCCGACTTCTCCGCACGCCGTGCAGCTCAACTGGACGGTGAGTTTTGTTTTGATTGTGTATGCTGTTGGTCGCAGATGACATTTATAGCGTCAGCGGGTTTGGGGACGACGAGATCCTAGGGGGACCTCAAGCCTCTAGGGGTATTCCAGGCGGATGGCAACTCCCCACTGGGGGAGTCTCTTCTTCGTCTGGAGCCTCTAGACTAGACCACTCGAACCTCCCTCAGGTTCGATGGTGAGTACAGACAGTGTGGATATAAAAACGAGCTATCAGTTTCGGGGACAGAATCTGAATTCGAATCGCTTACTCTAATGTAGTAAGATTACTTTTTGATCTCTCAGAATAAGAAGCTATGTTGATGATCTCTGTTTACCTTCCTCATGAAATCCTGGAATCTTTATTTAGTCCAACTAAACCAGAGAATTTGCTTTTGTTTTTTTTTACTTTATCTACCGAATGCGCAATTTGGTTTTAGCCACCAAATTTGATAAGGGCAAATTTTGTCAACAGTGGTCGCCTGGCAGCGACGGCATACAAGCGGAAGGCTTCTACGTATACTTCAGAGCGTTGACCTCAGCGGGTCTCTACGACAAGGCGGCAGTCCCTAGTGGTAGTGCCAGGAGCGTGGTGTTGCCGCACCTTATGCCGGACACCGCTTATGAACTGAAGATACGCTCCTACGTCACTCAGGCCGCTTCCGAGTTCAGCAGCATAAAGGTGAGTTTTGCTAAACACTTTAAAATGATTTCACAACAGGTCTTGGCAAATTGGATTCATGTCATTTATAGGAATAGTTTGGCATTGCATTGGAACACGTGAGTGTGGAAATTCTGGTTTAACCACCTTCACACTGAACTTTGAAAATGTGACAGTGTGAAGATCGGGAAAGTAATATTTGGTGTTAAGGTATAAGAATGCGAGTTCGATAAATATAAATTCAAAATAGTTTCTGTAACTTCAGGGGTGTGAAACAAGGGATGAAAGTTTGTATGATGAACTAATTTATTATTCTAAACATTCGTGAGCTGGGGTGGTAATAATTTCATTTGAAAGTAGTAGAATAAAATGCTTCTTCATTTATTATAGTTAATTATAAATGGCATAGTACGATGCAAACTTATTGGCGGTAGTGAAGTTAGCGCAAGTAGCGCAGCAGAAAATGAAATTTAGTGAGACGCGATATCCAATTTACTGTACTCGTAATTGCGCATAGTTGAACTCGCTGTTAACTTCACGGTCGCCATAAAGTATGAATCGCGCTGCACTTGTCTCGTCGGCCATAAGCTACTAATATATTATAAAGCAAAAGTATGAAAAAATAAAAACTACAATTTATTAAATTTTAATACCAAATTTAAACGCTTCTCTGGCTCCGTAAAACGGATCCGTTCTATTAAACAGGGAGATAATGGTTTAACCGAAATTATAATAAGGCAAATAATAGCTGAAGCTTGGGAGATAATTAATGATTAAAAACCGGCCAAGTGCGGGTCGTGCCACGCGCAGTATAGGGTTCCGTAGTTGCCAGTAGTTACCACAATATATTTGAGCAGGAGTCTTTCAGAGAGCTAACCTTAAAAAAAAACATTAATTTATTTCACCATCTTGTCGGCGTGATTGATATGCATATCTCCGCAAAATTACAGCTCTCTAGTGCTAATAGTTTCCAAGCAAAACTGGGGTCGGCCAGACGGACATGACGAAATTATAAGAGTTCCTTATCAGGACTGACCACGGAACCCTAAAAACCGACCAAGAGCGCAATAAAGTCTTGCACCGAAAAGTTTGCATACCTATTTGTTGGGATAGAAATTTAAATTGTTCTTAAAATAAAGGTTTCTGAAAGACGCACAAAGGAACAGACAGATTGCTTGATAACAGGATGTACTCTTTGGGTATGGATCTCCAACAATGGATTTCCTTAAGATTGTTAATTAATACATTTTGTTCGTATAATCGCTTCAAAAGGTACCTAATAAGAATAATGTGCTATTTAAAGTAAATTGGAAAGTCAGTGCGAAGGCAAACTCTTTCTTTGTGATTACAATAGAATTATACAAAACGAAACTTTATTACCATTAATTTACTTAACGCCTTTAAGTGCAACAATTAATCGGATAGCGGAGGTGCTGGTTCGAGTCCCGTCTGCTGCCGGGACCGCGTCGAATTTTTCCAGTAATATTTCCTTTAGACTTAACAAAAATTGACTACAATTGCCATTTCTACTTTCAAATGTTTAATACTTGTAAAAGTATTTCGTTTGATATTATGGGTTACCTACAACGCGAAGAGATGGCGCTGCCTTGCAATCTAAAAACTACTAGAAGCAATTCGACACGGCCAGTAGGTCAGTGCATCCGCCCAGATAGCGGATGGTTCGCGTCTCGTCTGCTGCCTGGACTGGATTTTTTTTCTAGTAATATTTTCCTTATTTTTTGTGTAGGATGTGAAAACGCTTCGTGCCACCAACGCCCCTACTACCACAACGGAGGCTCCGCCTGAAGACGTGAAGGGGTCCAACAGGGCTCCTGACCCCTTGGTGACCGCCGGCGGTGCTTTGGGTGCTGTGGCCTTGTTAGTGTTACTCGCTGTCATACTGTTCCTGTGTAGAAGGGCTAAGCGGCCGCCTGCAGACAGTAAGTTTTACCCCTAATTATATACCCCAGTAAATATTTTGTGCATCAACTACTGTTGCCGATCGATATTCTGCTATCGATAATTAATCGATAGTCGATTAATAGCCAACCAATCATATAATCATCGATACTATCGATACTATCGATAACACAGAACAAGCCAATACTATCGGATGAGTGAAATACTATAGACACTATCGATAGTGTTGTAGTTCGTAGTAATATCGATGGTTTAGCAATTTGCAATAGTGTTGTTTACAATTTTGAGGTATTATAGGCAATCTAAAACTATAGCCTAAAACAATCGCTAATATCGATACTATCGATAGTATTGTTGCAGATAAAATCAACAGTATCGATAGTATCGATATTATCAATAGTTTATTAACGAACTAAAATAGTATCGATAGTATTGCACACATTCGATAGTATTGCCTTGTTCTGTGCTATCGATAGTTTCGATAATATCGATTGGGTACATGATTTTAGATGTAAATTTTCGATAGTTTAAATATCGATAGTTCGGCGGTAAAATAATTTGGAGGAGCTTTTTCCGTGCTTCGGAAGGTCCGTTATGCAGTTGGTTCTCGACTGTATCTACAAAGGCGTTCTGCATCTGCAAAAAGTCGAAGTGTGTGTACATACCATGTATGGGAGTGATTTGCACACATATCCTAACTACCTAACTAATATTATTAATGTAAAAGTGAGTTTGTTTGGTACGCATATAGGTTATGACCTGAAGACATAGGTTACATTTTGTCCCGGGAAAGTGTATGGTTCCCAAGGAATATTCTAAAAATTAAAATTTTCTAAATTGGACTTTAGTAAAGCGAACGAAGTCTCGGATAGCCGCCAGCATTTATAAAGTCTAATTTACGTTGTCTGCTTTTGAAATAAAAAAGAAAAAACATAGCTAACTCTTCGTTTATAATGGTCTAAGAAACCGACTTTACTTCGGCCTGGACCAAATGTTATTCCAATATAAGTATTTGCTTTTTAATGCATATACAACTTTAAACTTTGCAGCACTTTATTCGACGATGCACAAAGATCCCACGTGTAACATAAGCCGCACGTTTTGTAGCGAGAATTTAGCGAGTGCTTGGCACATTGTCGATATTCCTACTAGTAAAAGAATAAAACTACCTACCTTGTATTATCAAACCTCCAACAACTTCTTCCTTCTTCGTTATACAATGGCTTTCAGTAATAGGTTTATTAAAATTCCCTCCATTTTTAAGAAATGACAAATAAGCTTGGACTAATTACTTTGTTTTGTCTCTGTTCATTGTCATTTGAGTGACATGAACAAAACACGGCGCAACTAGTCTAACCTTATTCTTCGTTTATGAATAAAGGGGTTACAGTAAACCTTCCTTTCTGTTTTTCATTTAATAGTGAGCTAGCAACTTTGCTAGCCCGCCTAGTTACAAATAGTAACCACAGCGAAAAAAATCCTTTTCTTCCTTCAACTTTCGGCATCTGTCCCACTGCGTCGGCGAGGATGATATTTGTTTTGCTTAAAAATGGATTATGCAAAAATTTCGCTAACTAATTCACTGTAAACATTTATTATACCTGTAATTAAAAAGGGATTTTACTATAATACTAATATTTAAATTTTTATATAAACAAAAAGAAAGTAAAATTATTGTAATGGCTAACTGATAAGCATTTGCGTGTATTGATACGGTTACTAAACATTAGTAAAATATCTAACCCTAAATTAACTGGGTGTACTTTTATAATAACAATACTGTTTATTTCTCACCATAGACTTAGTACAGATAAACACTATTAATATTATGTCCAGGTAAAGCCAGTATAAATAATTACCTATCTGGATTGCGGATCGCTGGTACCCGTGATAGGTAAAAAAGCTGTACTATAGGCCACCGCTTACTTCAAACGTATTGTTGATCGAAGCCTCAAACCAAGCGATAAAACAAACCGTACCACTGGTTTACCAGTTCTAGCCTGAATGGATCTAGAACCTAGGGATGTAGCGATTTATTAAAAGAAACTTGACATTAACTTTTTAATATAACTGCCAGCCGTAGGCATTGCATGAACAAAGAGTTTACCTAAACAAGGAGTCTGTAACGTAACGAACGTTACAGTATAAAGGCTGGAGTCTGAAATCACTCCAGAAAATTGAATAGCCACGCTACGCACTTGCTCATAATTAGGTTCTTTTTGCTAATAAATTTGTATCTAGCTTGAAAACTCTTTTCGCTAATCGTCAACGATGGGTAGCTGCCTTTAGGAATTGCGTGGGTTGGACAAATTGATTTCAAGATCTATTGGTTTATTTCTTGTATTTACGTGCCGCTTCCAGATTGAGGGGGTGTGCCATGAACTGATAACGCGACTCAATTCCAATACTTAAAGTGAGACATCACCATATCATTGTAGAGCGGTATCTCTTTCTGACAGATGCTTTTGGATTGCGTAAAAGTTTACGATGCGCCTTCTGAGAAGAAGACAAATTAAGGGGTTTTGTTTATTTTCAGAGGAGAAAGGTTCTGTGCCGGAGGGCGGTGGCGGCAACGGCTACATACAGGCTAAGGTTCCCATTACGATTACGGCTAATCCCATGCACGCTGAAGTAAGTAATTATAATCCTGGTTATAGTATATGCATAAGTATATTCTTGTAAGGTTGATTACGTCCATTCGATCCCATACCACCGTCCAATCCATTCTTATTAAAGCTGCACAGTCCGTAAACTGAACTCAAACACTCAAACATTGTCCCAGGACCAGTCAACATATTTTTAATTCAGACTGTGATAGATATTGATTCAACAGCTTATACTCTCTAGGTCATTATTCACAATTTCTGTTATTTTTATCCAAGGGCGGTGATGGAGGAGTGGAAATGTCGTTTCTACATAACAATAACTGTGGCAACACTGGCAACAACGATGATACACTACCGCATTCCAGAAAGAATGTACCGACGACGCGGCAATATGTTTGAAAGGGCGGAAATTTCATGCAGGGATTTAGATATAATGTGTTGCCCTTTACAAAACAAATACTACCATACTGGTAGATTTAATTGGCGTTAGAAAATGTGATATAATATAAACAGAAGCCACATTTGAAATGTTAATTAATATTTTATTATGTGTCGCTGTCGACCTTTAAAAACAAATACTACCATATAGGTAGATTTCATTGGCATTTAAAAATGTGATATTGAAAGAAAAGCCATATTTGCTATGTTAACGGAATTATCAGTACAAAATATACGTAGACATAAAGGACATTACTTAATATTAAGATATTGGATTCAATATTGTTGGAAAGTGGTTTATTGATGTACTTTTGTGAAAAATACTGACGTATTGATTATTGACATAATTAAGAATTATGTTTTTGTTTGTTTATAATGACTATAATATCAATACGACTGTTTTTAAAAATAATGTCAATACTAAGTAAGTTTTATTCCAATAATATTTACATTTACAGAACAAAATGCTTTCCTAATAACGTGTAGATAATGAAATGCAGAAGCAATTGACGAATTTATATTATAAATACTGATATTGATAATTTTAGATCTGAGGGCCGATCTTTGATAAAATCATCTTGTATCTATTAATTCTATTATATATCGTCGTTAAACATTTGTATTTAACAATCGAATTTAGATCTTAAAATTACGAATCTCCATTTTCGTAAAAACAATATTTCAAGGTACAAAATCTTCTATTGCGGTGTGGCAATGTACTTAATATCAATTATTTTGTTATCAATTTTGTTATAGAAGTTGTTTAGTTGTATTATTTCACATAAATATGTAATTATTTCATTTATTTATGATTTCCGAAGTTTTTTCGTTTCTTGGAAGGTTGTGATGGACCCCAGCATTTAATTAATGACATTTAATTTATTCATAACTATAATTATTAATAACTATAAACATATTGTACATCTTCTAGTTCGAAGCGTGATTTGGTAAATCGCCATATTCGTTGCCACTTTTTGTATTAGTGGGTGTATAATTTGTAATATCAGCCTAATGTTGATTGTGAATTATATGATAGTAAGTAGTTTAAGAAGACTATTAGTATTATAACTCCATAAGAAGAAAAATAATTACAATGGTCAAGAATGTAATCAAGTTTTTCCATCGAATCTCATAGTTATTCTGTAATCTTTGAAAGCGCCATTAATTAAAATATTTATAAAGTTTAACTATTTCACGATAATGAAGTTTGTACAATCGAATTTGTGGTGTATCGCTACTTTAGGTATGATATGACTGTTATTATGTTGTAGAAAAATCCCTTGAACTTTATTTAGATAATTTTATTATTGATGACTAAGCGAACATCCTTGCTCGGAATTCTGGTATAATTACGAGTGGTTCGTAAGAAAAGATTGATAAAACTTGTAATTTAGAATTTTTCATGTTAATAACAATGGCGGCTGTAATGAAAAGTGACCATAAAGTATGAATAAGACTAAGAACTCACGGAGCGGTTTTGTCTTGCATCCGCCGCAGATAGGGTTACCATCCGTGTGGATTAGTCCGGAAATGTCCGGACTTTTAGACAATAGTCCGGATCTTTGAACTGTCCAGTTGTATATGAATAAAAGTTCATATTTATTTAAATACCATACCATTGTAACTAACTGAGTAATGGTACCATTTTGTGACTAAAAAGTCCGGATTTTTTTCGAAATGTCAGCACCACTCAAAACACGCATCTGTCGTAATTCATATCGCATCTTATCCTGTGATCCTACGATACTGACATTCACTTGGCATCGATGCGCGCATCGGATGCGATATATCTGATACCGATGCGCATCGATTTAACAAATATCTAAAAACGACCATCTCTACGCTACATATCAGACGTTTTGTTTGTTCCTCAGCGTAGTCTAACAACGGGTTATTGTTATACCCTAAAGCAGCAAACTACCGAATTCTACAATTGTACCTACTTGCATTCAAGCGATATTATTTTCTTGTTTCGCGGTTTTATAATAATCCGTTCTTTATATACAGTTGTATTTTTTTCCAGAAATTGTGTATTGTTTAACAACGAACAGAAAATAAAAGTTATAATCATTATGAGTGTGCGAATATATTTTAAAGTTTGCTTCGAAAATTACTAATGTTAATTCCTAATTAGCAAACGCTTATTACTTACGTAATAATTGTTTCTACAAATTAAATTATTATGTTACTAGTTATGGAGTTAAGTTAGTTATAGTTAGTTACTTCATCAATGCACTCGCTTAATTAACTCGCTTAAAAGACTGAAAACTAATTCTGAAGACACAGATTTTAGAACTGCGGTTGTTTGTAGTAAGAAAGACAGATATGCATTTAGTATAGTGAATCTGTTGTTTACAGGTTTTCTGTAAATTATTTAATGAAAAGGTAAATGAATGAGTATTGTAGTTATTAAATAAAAATTACGATGAAAAATAGATTTTATCTTTATTTAAATTAATCCCCCTTTGGTAACATACAATATTTTTTATCCATACGGTTCTTGTTCAGAATTTTTCAAACGCGCTGTACTATTTTTGCCTGGGTGCTACTTCCATGCTGGATTGAGGCAGTTGTCCCACCACCGGCGCGGCGAGGAACTATTTTCTCGCTCAATTCAATTCAATTTATTTATTGTTTCATGTGGTAATTACAAGTTCTTAAGATTTAGAGTCAGATCCAAACATGAACCCTGTAAGAGCACTACAATATCAATATACATAAAATAAACAAAGTACACATAAAAATCCACGCGGACCAGGCAGCGGACGGGACTCGAACCCGCATCCTTCGCTATCCGGGCGAATGCACTGACCATTATGCTGCCACGGCCCTATTAGCCGCGTCAAAATTTTCCTAGCCTTAAGCTGCAAGGCAGCGCCATCTCTTCGCATTGTAGGTAACCCACAATGTCAAATGAATACTTTTTCAAGTATTAAACATTTGAAAGAAGAAATAGCAATTATAGTTATGATTTTATTTATTTTTAAGCATTTAACTGCTAGATGTTTAAATGCAAAGAAAAGTTTACTAGAAAAATATCCACGCGGACCAGGCAGCGGACGGGACTCGAACCCGCATCCTTCGCTATCCGGGCGAATGCACTGACCATTATGCTGCCACGGCCCTATTAGCCGCGTCAAAATTTTCCTAGCCTTAAGCTGCAAGGCAGCGCCATCTCTTCGCATTGTAGGTAACCCACAATGTCAAATGAATACTTTTTCAAGTATTAAACATTTGAAAGAAGAAATAGCAATTATAGTTATGATTTTATTTATTTTTTAAGCATTTAACTGCTAGATGTTTAAATCTAAAGAACCTACAATGCGAAGAGATGGCGCTGCCTTGCAGCTTAAGGCTAGGAAAATTTTGACGCGGCTAATAGGGCCGTGGCAGCATAATGGTCAGTGCATTCGCCCGGATAGCGAAGGATGCGGGTTCGAGTCCCGTCCGCTGCCTGGTCCGCGTGGATATTTTTCTAGTAAACTTTTCTTTGCATTTAAACATCTAGCAGTTAAATGCTTAAAAATAAATAAAATCATAACTATAATAGCTATTTCTTCTTTCAAATGTTTAATACTTGAAAAAGTATTCATTTGACATTGTGGGTTACCTACAATGCGAAGAGATGGCGCTGCCTTGCAGCTTAAGGCTAGGAAAATTTCGACGCGGCTAATAGGGCCGTGGTAGCATAATGGTCAGTGCATTCGCCCGGATAGCGAAGGATGCGGGTTCGAGTCCCGTCCGCTGCCTGGTCCGCGTGGATTTTTTTCTAGTAAACTTTTCTTTAGATTTAAACATCTAGCAGTTAAATGCTTAAAAAAAAAGAAAATCATAAAGTACACATAATTATAACCAATCACATTAAAATTTTAGATTACAAAAGTACCTACCTTTCAACAAAAAACTCTTGTTTTATTCAATAAATATTGTTTCAAAATTTGTGTAAACTTTTTAAGGTTTTGTTCTACGGTTATATATTTAGGTAATTTGTTATAAATTTTAATTGCGATTATTTGTGGACCTGAACACTAGTTTTAACTAGGCAGCGCTGCATCATTCCCTTCTCAGGGGACGATCGCATTCGATGAAGCTTCGCGGTCAGAGGCAGCCCCTACGGGTGTTTTTTAGTCAGTAGAAGCCTGACATAACCCTGCAGCCCGAAGAATGTTATCCATGAGGACTTTTCACGAACTCCTCCGCAAGGAAGGAATAAAAGAAATACTATAGATTATATTACAATAGTTGATCGCTGACTGTTCACACTGCCGGCGGCAACCCTCTTAAATAGTTTGTTGCTCAACGACGAGAGCTATCAAAGATAACACTCGCAGTGCAAAGCTCGCTTGGTAGTAAAAACTGACTCACTGTGTAGACTGAAAAAAAACTATCTAACAAAACTGATAGTAGATTAAAAATGTTAACTGCCATATAATTGGATCTTGCACGTACGGGAAATCACACTTAGGCCCGTATTATAGAAAGATTCTCAGTGATTGATCTAGTCTTGAGCATAGTTAGAAAGGGATGTCGCTATATATAGCACATAACGACATCCCTTTCTAACTGTACTCAAGTAAAGATCAACACTTAGTTGTCCTTCTGTAATATGGGCTTTAGAGTTGAATAAATTGACTAAATCAGCCACTCCAACGACCAGCAGTGTAAGAAGCTCCCACGGGTCATCCAATTTAAACCTGAATATTCAAACCAGTTTTAAGATGGGAAAAATTCTTTCCGACCTTTGTACTGTCACATTTTCAAAGTTTTAATGTGAAGATGGGTCTCTACAACAGCAAAATAAGCCAATTTCTCGGCCTTCACACTGGTGTGAAAGGGTTCCCACCCGTAACGCTAGTGTTAAGGTCGGGAAAGAAATTTCCGCACTTTAACAATAGTATTAATGTTTGGTGCTATGGTAGGGAATGCATGTTCCAAATGTGGTATTGAAACGTGCTTAATAGGTGCAATCTTTGTTTTGTACGCGTAAAGAAGATTGTTTCGCAAAGATAATAAATTGTTTCACTTTACCATTCCTGTACGTATAATATCAAAATACCTATATTTTATCAAAAATATATTTTTACTTCCCAAGTTTGAGAGATGGTTAAATTATACAAGTGGGAATATGATTCAAGGAGCTGTTTAATTCTAAATTACTCTTAGATCGTTTAAGTGAAAATGAGAATTATGCAAAGGGGCGTCGCGCCATCATAGCTGAATATGTGAATAGAGAATTTAATAAAGTATGGAAACGGATATTGAGGAAGGAAGATATCTATGAAGGATTGAAATTGCTTTAGAATGTGTTTAATTTTCAATTTTCTCCTGCAGATTGGTTGCAAAAGTCTTTTATCAACATTATCACGATCGGAAGTCGGTAATTTCCACTCGCCTCTTCCGGCGGAACCGTCAGAGCTAGTGGTGACCATAACGTTCTCTAAAAATATATCTTACTTGACCTCTTTGGTGGCGAATGGGATATTTTGGGAAAGATCTCGATTCTCACTCCTAGAAAAGTTAGCGAAATGACTGCCTAGTTTGTAAGGCCATCTTGTAAGCGTCTACAATAGAATTTTATGCGCATATTTCTGTCATTGTAATAATTAAGTATGACACTTCTATTTCCTAATGAGTCTTTGAAAAAAATACGGGTCTTTAAAGAATACCCTTAGCAGTTAAATTCGATCTTGATACGCGTCAAAAGTCAAAAAGTTTTGTGTGGAAGATTTTTAAATGTCGTTACGTCCATTGTGGCGCTGTTGAAACTTCCATACAAAACTTCTTCACATTTGACGCGTATCGAGATCGAATTCAAATATTCAAATTCGATGTTGGTTCGTGCTAAAGGTTTTTTACCTTTCTGAACCACCGTCAGAAGAAGACCACTTAGAAGAGATAGCGATGCCAAGACTAACGTCAAAACCTCAAGACTACAGAGCCAACAAACTTAAATATATATTGGTATGTTCATAAATAATTACACGAACTTACCTATATATTTTTATACAATAAGATATTTCTCATTAAAAGAAAAACACTTTGCTCTGCATCTGGCAAAGGCAATAGTCATTAGCAGTCACCAAGCTACATTAACGCTGGTAATTGCTTCTGCCCGGTAATATGAAGGGTGATCGCCCTTAAAATAATGATCTCACTCGTTTACATCATTACAAACAAAGGGATATCAAAGAAAAAATAAAATATTTTATGATCAGCAAAATGATATGTAAGAACAGAATTGATTTTATATTTTTCAGAAAAAGCAAGAAGATGAAAATTAAATATGTATGTTATAAAAAGGTTATGTGATTTACGTTGATTGTGATTTTCTTTTTTTATTGATCTTAATCTATCTTTTTAATAATGAAGATGATGATCTACGTTACAAGAAGTTAATTACAAAAAATCGACTCTCAAACATGGGTCTGTTTATAAATCGTTAATATATTTTATTGAGTATAAGAAAATATAAAGTGGAGTCAATTTTTAAAATAATGTATTTATTAATTATAATATACTTCTTTTAAATCTAATTAATATTAATTCGTTTTTATATGTTTGTACTTCGTAACTTTGTTCTGTACTTAATTTTACACTTCAAGTTTAGTATTATTTATGTGTTAAACTACATTATCAAGAACATAGTTTTTTTTATAGATAGGTCCGACAAATGACTCCACCCCACCTGATGTTAAGTGGAGGTGAAGTCCAGACGCGAAGATAGCTGATACAGCAGTTCTACCTGCCACACCAGCCATCCTCACCCTGCCGGCCTGCTCTTCACGCCTCTTTTAAAGGATCCCAGGTTGTAAGAGGGAGGGAACACGTGAGCGGGCAGAGCATTCCATTTACGGATAGTACGACAAAGAAATGAGTCACCAAATTTCTTTGTACGCGTTGGAATTGTAGCCACAGTTAGACGGTGACAACGTAAGCCAGCGCGCGTGGTCCTCTGAAGGAAAGGGGAAGGTGGAATAAGAGAGAATAACTCCTCAGAACACTCGCCGTGGTACAGACGATAGAACGCGCTTAGTGACGCCACGTCACGGCGTAATTGAAGAGGCTCGAGGTGTTTAGACACCTTCTCATCACCTATGATGCGTATTGCGCGCCGCTGTAACCTATCCAAAGCATCGAGCAAGTACTTGGCGGAGCCATCCCAGAGGTGCGAGCAATATTCCACGCAAGACCGAACCTGCGTCTTATATAACAAGCATAGTTGCTCGGGCGTGAAAAAACGCCGCACCTTGTTCAGGACTCCGAGTTTGCGTGAGGCTGTTTTTATCACACTTTCGATGTAATTTTTTGGATTTAAGTCACAGCGAATCTCCATACCGAGCATGGTGATACTGCTCTCTAGCTCCAGTGTTGTGCCGTGAAGAGAAGGACATAAAAGGAATGGCGACGTTTTTGCCGTGAAAGCGCAGACCT